TTCCCAAGGCTGTAAATCTTTACGGGAGCAGATAACCTCATCTTTCTCCCGCAGAACAGCTGGTAGTTTCGAACTGCTGACCTTGTGGTTCCCAGCCCGATTCGTAGCCACTACGCTACCAGAGCTCCATATATATGTATATATATGTTGGAGAGCTCCACATATATGTATATATATGTTGTTGTTAAGTGCCTTTGAGTCGATTCCGACCCATAGCGACCCTGTATAGGGTTCCCAAGGAACAGTTGGTTAGCTTGAACTGCCGACCTTGCAGTTCAAACAGCTTTGCAGTCTGGCGCATTAACCCACAGCGCTACACCAGGACTACTATATAGCTATATCTATACCTATATCTATATCTATATCTTAATATTTCTACTCTGGGAGCGTAGTGGTTACGAATCTGCTGCGACTAACAAGGTCAGCAGTTCCAAACTACCAGCTGTTCCGTGGGAGTAAGATAAGGCTTTCTGCTCCCATAAAGATTTACAGCCTGGGAAACCCTGTACAGAGTTGCTATGCATCGGAACCGACTTCACGGTACATCACCACCACAACCAGAACTTTACAACCAAAAGACAACCCAATCAAAAATTGGGCAAAGCATATTAATAGACATTTCACTAAAGAAAATATTCAGCTGGACAACAAGCACAAAATAATAATCATTAGCCTTTGGTGGTGGTGTGCTTTTGAGTTGGTTCTGACTCATAGCAACTGTGTTGTGTATAGGGTTTCTGAGGGTGTAAATCTTCATAGGAGCAGAAAGTGTCATCCTTCTCCTTCAGAAAAGCTGGCAGGTTTGAACTGCTGACTTTGTGGTTAACAAAATCAGTACGTAACCCACTATATTGTATATTACCAGGGTTTCTTGTCATTGTTGTTGTTGTTGTTAAGTGCCGTCGAGTCATTTCCGACCCATAGCAACCCTGAACAGGGTTTCCAAGGCTGTAAATCTTTATGGGAGCAGAAAGCCTCATCTTTCTCCCACGGATCAGCTGGTAGTTTCGAACTGCTGACCTTGTGGTTCGCAGCCTGATTCGTAACCACTACGCCTTAGTCATTGTTATTGTTTTAAGTGCTCTCAGGTTGTTTCTGACCTGTATAGGGTTTCCAAGGAGTGGTAAGTAGGTTTGAACCACCAACCTTGTGGTTGGCAGTCCAGTGCTTATTGTACAGCACCACACCAGAACTCATTAGTCATTTGTAGTTGTTGTTAACTGCTGTCACAATTCCAACCCATAGCTACCCTGTATAGGGTTTCTGAGGTTCAGCTGCTGAGCTTGAACCACCGACCTTACAGTTCAAACAGCTTTGCAGTCTGGCACATTAACCCACAGTGCAATACCAGGACTCCCATAGTCAAAACCTCATTAGAACAGCAAAGATCAATAAAACAGAAAACGTCAGGTGTTAGATAGGTTGGGGAGAAACTGAGACCCTCAGCCACTGCCAGTGGGAATGTAAAATGCTACAACCACTGTGGGAAACAATTTGATGGTTACTCAACAAGTTGAATGTAGAGCTATCATGCTGTCATGTGACTGAGAAATCACAATCCTACATATATATCCAAAAGTATTAAGAGCAGGAATACTATAGCCAAAATGTGGAAACCACAGGTATGCCCATCAACCAATGAACAGATCAACAAAATGTGGTATGTACATACAAGAGCACATTACTCAAAGGTGGATGAAGTCCTGATGCATGCAACAACAGATGGACCTTGAAAACACGCTGAGAAAAATAAGTCAGTTACATGAGGACAAATACTGTATGACCTCGCATACTTGAAATAAACAAATACATAAGAACCAAAGTTTATTAATGGCTGCCAGGGTTGGAATGGAGGAGGAAATGAGAAGTTTTTGCTTAGGGGTGGTGAGTTTATGTTAACAGTGGTGGGAATGTTTAGAAAAAGATTGTGAGAGTGGTTGTAAAACTTGAAGAATCTAGATAATCAGTGTGAATAATTTGTGCCTGTAGGACTCCTGTTGTGGCACTATGAGTTAATGCGCTGGACTGCAAAGCTGGTTTGAATCACAAATGGGCAGTTCAAGCTCACCAGACACTCCTTGGAAAGCATATACAGGGTCGCTATGAGTCAGAACCAACTCCACGCATACCACCACCACCATGACGTTAATGAGGCCAAATGCAATCCACAAGTTTGTTGTTGTTGTTAAGTGCTGTTGCGCTGGTTCCGATCCATAGATACCCTGTATAGGGTTTCTGAGGAGCAGTTGGTGAGCTTGAATCACAGAACTTGCAGTTCAAATGACTTTGCAGTCTGGTACATTAACCCACAGTGCCACACCAGGTAGGTTGTATTTAAGCCAGTCTCTTCTGAAATATAAAAGGAAAGGTGAGCATAGAAAGAGGGACCCACTGCTACTAAGAGAGAAGAGCTGGGAGTGGGGTGCATCCTTTAGATCTTGGGTCCCTGCACTGGGAATCTCCTCGATCCAGGGGAAGACTGATGCCCAGATGTATGGAGATCTCCAAGGATACTGAGCCTATCGATGCTGAAAGGAGACAAGGACCTTTCCCCAGAGCTGACAAAGAGAAAGCCTTTCCTTAGAGCAGGCACTCTGAATTTAGACTCTAAATTGTGAGCGAATAAATTTGTGGTTGTTAAAGCCATCCATTTGTGGTATTTCTGTTATAGCAGCATTAGATAACTAATGTCACCTACTCTAAAACATGCCTTCTAATGGTTTCTTGAGAGATATATAAACAGTTTTTGGCATCACTTCTTGTAAAAATAAGAGCAGAATCCTGTATATCCTGATTTTAATTCAGTTCAACAAGAAATGCCAGTGAGTCCCTCTCTTCTGCACTGCCTACAGAGGAAGCACTGTCTCTACTGACATTATCGCTGCCCTCAGATCCCTGTGAAGCCCAAGATCATCAAGAAGAAGACCAAGAAGTTTGTTCGGCACCAGTCAGACCGTTATGTTAAAATGAAGCGTAACTGGTACAAACCCAGAGGCATTGACATCAGGGTGCTGAGAAGATTTAAGGGCCAGATCTTAATGACCAACATTGGTCATGGGAGCACCAAGAAAATAAAACACGTGCTGCCCAGTGACTTCTGCAAGTTCCTGGTCCACAACATCAAAGAGCTGGCAGAGCTGCTGATGTGCAACAATTCTTACTGTGCAGAGATTGCTCACAACATTTCCTCCAAGAACTGCAAAGGCAGCGTGGAAAGAGCGACCCAGCTGACCATCAGCCTCACTAATCCCAGAGCCAGGCTGCATGGTACAGTGAAGAAATGAATAGATGGCCTTTTTGCCAGTTATATTTGTGCTAATTAAAACCATAAAAGTGTAGAAAGAAAGAAATGCCAGTGAATTAAGGCTACAACTATGCCATTATTTAACAAGATTTTCATTATTTATTACATAAATCATTTTCAATAGTTGTTGTTGTTAAGGGTCATCAAGTCAGTTCTGACTTATTGCAACCCTGTATAGAGTTTCCAAGGAGTGGCTGGTGACTATGAACAACAACAATATTGCTCATTGTATCTACTGGCACTTTTTGTATTTCTCTAGGATATTCTAGGCCATTTCCTTCATTTTGCATGTGCTAGAGAGTCCTGGCGTGGCACTGTGGGGTAATGTGTCAGACTGCAAAGTCATTTGAACTGCAAGGTTTGTGGTTCAAGCTCACCAGTTGCTTGTTGGAAACCCTATACAGGGTTGCTATGCATCTGAAGCAATGCACTGGCACTTAACAACAACAACAGGGAAAAATCCCAGGAGTCCTGGTGTGTCGCTGTAGAATAAGCCCTTTCAAACTCACCTGCCGCTCCTCAGGAACCTTATATATATAAGATTAACAGTAAAACAGTCACTATGAGTTGGAACCGATTTGATGGCATTTAACAACAATAATAATGGGAACAATTCCTCAATCTAATTTCAGTTTGAAATCTTTCTTAATAAACAATTATTTATTTCCAATCCTGCCCAAGGACAGAATGTTGTGTCCTTTGGAGGTGACAATAATATCTAATAAGTTTTCATCATTTTGCTTTCAGTATGCTTCACCACATTCACAGTTTTGTTTGCAGGAAAGGTAAATACTTATGTACCAGTATCCTTTTTCAATCTCTTATGTATCTGTGTGATATAGTACTGTTATGGCACAGTTGGATAAGCACTGGATCATAGGGTTGATTTGAACTGCAGGATCGGTGGCTCAAACTTGCCAGTTGCTCTCAGAAACCCTATACAGGGTCAGTATGAGTCAAAACCAACTCAACAGCACTTAACAACAAAATGTATATGTATTGTTGTTCCTTTTGCTAGGTTCCATTGAGTCGGTACCAACTCATAGCAATCTTATGCACAACAAAATGAAACACTGCCCATTCCTGGGCCAACCTCACAAATGTTCCCATACTTGAGCCCATTGATTTTGCCACTTTGCCAATCCATCTTCCTTAGGGTCTTCCTCTTTTTCTCACCCTACAACACCTTAACAAACATGATATCCTTCTCTAGCAACTGGTCCCTCCTAACAATATGTCCAAAGTATAAGCGATGAAGTTTGGCCATCCTGGCCTCCAAGGAGTGCACTAACTGCACTTCTTCCAACACAGATCTATTGGTTCTTTTGGCAGCCCATGGCACTTTCAGTAGTCTCCTCCAACACCATAACTCAAATGGATCAATTCTTCCACACTCTTCCTTATACACTGTCCAACTTTCACATGCATATGAGGTTATTGAAAATACCATGGCTTGGGCCAGGCGTACCTTAGTCCTCAAGCTGACCTCTTTGCTCTTCAACAATTTATAAAGGTCTTGTCTAGGGACACCTGATCCTACGGACAAGGACATAGCCACAGAAGGCTTAGCTGAAACTAAAGCATCCAGCTGATATGAACTGAGAGTAGACACGTAAAATCACTCATTTGATCTTATGCAGACAGTACCCATTTGACCTAGCCTCAATGGCTTGATAATCAGAACTAGACTAGAGCAAAATAACAACAACAAAAAGAACAAAACAATTTTGATAAAGGAAATGAGGGTAAATTGCTACAATTTGATGAACTTGACCTATACTCATGGGGGTAGTACTCTAACTACCAACACAGAGAGAAGCAGTCTTCACATCAAGTATCAAGCCTATCCCCTCTGTACATAGGGTAGATAGGGACAGTCAACTTAGACATTGGCTACTTAAATGAGGGGGCAATAAAGGCATAAAGTGACTGGCTTAAAATTTCAAAAGGGTGTTTAGTTGAAGAGTGTGGTGTGAAGAAAGAGTCCCCACTGAATAGTTTTAATCTTGTGTAGCTGGGTCTGGTTAAAAGAGATGGTGATAAGATTCTTATGATTCAATAGTGAATAATTGGCATCATGATTAATTGCGACTGTCACAAATTAAAGGTAGAGGTTTTACAACAAAATCAGGGGAATAGTTAATCTTACAGAAACAGAGAATCCTAGGACCATCAAGGGAGAAGAGCACAAGCGGAATGTGGGCCCTTATCCAGAAAAGCAGCGACAGCAGAGATGAGGACCTGGAGAGGGGAAGTGTCTGAGGACTCTAGACTCATGGGAAGAGAGGGACTAAGAGATGGTGACCAAGATTCAGACTTGCACAATATTCCCTTTGATGGTACACATTATTAAATATGCCTCTGTGTTTTTGTTTTTTTGTTGTTGTTGTTTTTTTAAAGAGCTCACAGTGAATAGAGAGAAATACTGTTAACTGATGGTACTTGGTGGGGATTATAAACATTGTAATGAAACAAAGTGTAGGATTTGTTAAAGTAAAACTGATGATCTGCCTGGTAAACTTTCATTCAATCCACAATAAAAACCTTAAAAAAAACCCACACACGCAAAAAGGTCTCGTGCAGCGGATTTGCCTAATGCAACACTTTCCACTGTTCCTCTCATATATTGTCCTTCCAGTCACCCCAGTTAACATGTGTCTGTGCTCCAGGCAGTAAACTACACTCCCTTCCCTCCCACATCTGGAAATCATCAAAGATTGCTCTGGTTTCTCCTTTCAAAGTCTTATATATTTGTGGGATATATAAGTATACATCTCCCACTCATCCCCTTCTGACCCATTGAGCTTATAACTCAATCCATGTATTTACATAAAGGACATTGTTGTTTCAGGGCTGTGTATATATCACTATTTACCTGTCTCCCCTTAAGCCCACACATACCTTCCTGAGTCTTCCCCTATCTTCATTTTGCATCTGCCTCCCCATCATACTCTTCTTGTGTATTGCCCTCCCCATCACATCTGAGCTAACATGTGTCTACTCATTAGCCAATGACTTATTCTCCCTTCCGTACCATCCCTCATAGTCATTAAAGTATGTTCATTTCTGTCTGGGAATGTTTTCTTAAACTTTTTTAGTTGTTTTGGTTTCAGACCATTCATTATCCTGGTTTTTGTTTTTTAAACTTTCTATTGTGAATTGAGTGATAGTTTACATGGGGAAACATCAGCTTTACACTCATTGTTTCATTGCAATAATTACAATCTCCTCTGTGCATCATCATTCAACAGTATTTACTTCTAATCCCTCTGTTTTGTTTTGTTTTTGTGGGGAGGGGCGGGATGTGCACAAAAACACTCAAGATTTTTAATGATCGAAACCACCAAAAGACATATTCTGCAAGCCTGCCCCCTAGCCATCAGCACCTGGCTGCCAGCACACAGCCTTTCTCTTTCCATGAGTCTAGAGCCCTTAGCTGCTTTCTCTCTCCATGCCCTCATCTCTGTCTCCATCTCTGGTGTCACTGCTTCTCTGGATATGGTCCCACATTCCTCTTGTACTCTTCTCCCTTGGTGATCCTTGGGTTCTCTGTTCCTGGACTGTAAGATGAACTACTCACCTCTTTTTGTTTACAATAATGGTTTCGTACAATATTTGTCCTTTTGTGATTGACTGATTTTGCTCAGCATAATGTCCTCCAGGTTCAACCATGTTATGAGGTGTTTCACAGATTCACTGTTTCATCAAGGTTCTACACTTCTTACTTCCGAACTAAAGTGCGTTGTCTCAAAGCTGGACTGTGGTGTGTATAAGATTGCATTGTTTCACAGCAGAGAAGACTATCATTGCAGCCTGCATGTAGTGACATAGTAGAAAACCAGCAG